ATGGTTAGCACATATTCTGTAAAATGCATACAGGAAATCCTCAATATTCGTCTATTGCTGTTATTATGGTTACCATCACTCTGAATACACTTTATCACCATTTTGTTGCTCTACATAATTTTGCCTTCCACCTAAGCAGACTCAGGTGCAATTAACCTAGAACACACTCTTTGCTGTTCCTTCTCTGGGGATACTCCACTTCCCACCGAGGTGGTTAATTTCTAATACTGCTTTTAAAAAAAAAATTGCTATTATTTGTGGCACCGGAAATCGAGCCCAGGGCCTTCACATAGCCTCATCCCAAGGGACCCCGTATGGCAATCTCTCTGAGCTCAATTTTTTTTTTAATGTATTTAGCACAGGGTCTACAGGGTCTCACTACACAGCTCAGACTCATAGTGATCCTCCTGCTTTCAGCCTCCCAAGCACTGGGATTACAGGTACATACCACACCCACTCTCAGTCACTGTCTCAGCATGCTCTGGAGGTGGGACCAGCACAACATGCCACAAATCAAACCTGGTCCCTGAGTCCCTGCACCTCCCTAAGCAGGTGCTTTAGTCTGCTGAGCTATCTGGCCAGCCCTTGAGCTTGAATTTTTATCCTCCTACATCAGCCTCCCTGAGTGCTGGGATTCCAGGTATGCAGCCCATACCCAGCTGTTAATCCCTTCTTGGCAGAAGGCCTAGCTAGACCCAAGTGTGAGGCTATTCTGAGGACACACCAAACATCTTTTCAGTAGTTCTCAAGCCTACATGAAAATCAGAAATCACTTCACAGTTAAAACAGCAATAAAAACCAAAACCTCTAAGACCAACATCTAGATCCCTCAGTCAAAAATCCTGATTTAAGAGGGGTAAGGTGCAGTGGTTCTTATAGCTTCCAAGGAGGTTATAATGTGTAGCTGATATGTACCAATCACTGTGGAGAAGATTAGTGCTTCCATTACCTGGGGGAGAAAAAGAGCACCACATTCCTCTCCCGTTATCCCTACCATGGAGTGGGAGGGAGAGGACTGAAGGTCACAAGAGAATTCTTCCACTTACAATGTGAATGAGACCTTCTCATCATATCGTCCACCTGGATCAATGGCACATGGAGTTAGCCCTTGGGTTAGTGTACTGGTTTCTCACCCAAGCATGGCTGAGAGGATAGAAGAGATCCTGTCCCTGTGCAGGAGGTAGCCAGCACGGGGTCCTGGCCATGCAGGCTCATGTGCACACAATGGCTGCTGCTGTCAGGTGCGAACACTTCAATCCAAGCAAGTGAGAGCACCTGTGCTTTGGATTAAACTTCGCAATGTCTATTGCTAAAGATAGCGGTTAGCCTGGAGTGTGCTCAGAAATAAAGCACACCTGGAAATGTTTCTTCGTATTGTTAAAGTCCTATACAACGAGAATATTGAAACCTGGGAAGACCCTAGGTGCACAGCTAGTACGGACAAAGCCAGAGTCTGGACCTAATGCTGCTGCAGTTAGCAGTCGGGCTGAGCTGAGAGATGCAGTTTCCATGGCAAAGGCTGCACACAAGTGCTCAGTGACAGTTGTGAAGTCGAAAGGGTTAATTTCAGTGGTCATGAACTCATTCACTCATTTCATGACTGTTTATCAAGGGTGTCTGTATTTAGCATGCCATTTCTGCCTCAATTTTTAAGATAGTATACATAGCAGTGTGCCTGCAATCCTAGCACTCTGGGAAGCTAAAAGAAGAGGATTGCAAATTAAATCCAAGTTCAACCTGGGCAATTTAACGAGAGAGAGTCTCTCTCTCTCTCTCTCTCTCTCTCTCTCTCTCTCTCTCTC